CTGGACTCCACGCAGCTGCCGCTTTGAAACGCCAGAGGTAGTGTTTTAAAGGGGCAGCCACCACACAGATGAGCCGAAAGAGTAAATTGATAGCTGAAAACTTTATTTTTACTCTTTTGGTGCGCTTTTAGAAAGATTATCTTTTTTTAAAAAAAAATTTAATATATTTTTTTTCTTCCAGATATTTGTAGATGAATTCCTCAATTACTTGCTCCATTATCTTTCCTGGCCCAGAAGTTAAACTGATGGTTCTGTAGTTTCCTGGATTGTTCTTATTTGCCTTTTTATACCTGGGCAGTATATTTGCCCTTTTACGATCTTCTGGAATCTCTCTTGTCTTCTATGATTTTTCAGAGATGATAGCTAACGGCTCAGATAGCTAATGGCTCAGATACCATGAGTATTCTAGGATGCATTTCATCAGGCCCTGGTGACTTCAGACATCTAACTTTTCTAAGTGATTTTTTTAATGTGTTCTTTTTTTATTTTATCTTCTAAACCTTACCCCATTTCCACTAGCATTCACCATATTAGGCATTCCTTCATCATCAGACTTCTTGATGAAGACCAAAACAAAGAAGTCATTAAGCAAAGAAGTCATAATGTAATTAGATACAGAAGTATGAAAGAACATGTTTACCATCCTGTTCCAGGATGATGGGGAGGTACAAAGGGACCAGATCAAAGTAAACATAAATCTCCAGTTCTGCTGTTCTTACCTCACTCCTCTATTTAACATTTCCTCTTTTGAACTTAGTTTTGAACAGCCTCCTTAAATAACACAACAAAAGGTGTTGACTTGTGCGTATGTGAGGTTTTCTCTATGGCAGGAATGGGCAATAATTTTTGAAGAGGGGCCACTTCACAAATTTCTGACATGATTGCGGGCTGCCCTGGAAGGGGCAGAGCCTTGGACAGAAGGGGCGGGGCCAGGAGGCTTTTCATGTTTCCCCACCCACAGACCATGATTGGCCTCGGCAGGGGGAGCACACACAGTCTTTGCCCCTGCCCACAAGCTGTTTTGAACAGCTGGTGGTTCCCTCTTGTGCCACGCACCCCTGGCAGGGAGAGGAGCCTTCGCATGCCCCCCCTGTGCCCAGGTCTCGATTGGCCCCACGGAGGCTGTCTTGCCAACCCCTGCTTTATGGTTATGCTTACCACTGATTTTATATTTTTAATTGCTTAGTTGGGAACAATAAATTATGGTATAAGAAGAATATTAAATAGAGCATTAAGCTTTAATTTAGTAATGGGTGGTGAGAGATTTTAAAGAGACTGGGGAGGAAAGGCGGGAGAGAGAATCAACTATTTAGGGATTCAGACTTCTTAAAATGTAATTTTGTGAAGATATTTAAAGTCAGCCTTAAATGGTAGTGAAAGGTTAAAGTTTGTGTAGTCAGCTGTTCGGGATAGTCACCTTGCTGTAGACTAATGGGTGAGCCTGTTCTTCAAAGCAAACCCCCATTGTGTGGACTAGATAGCTCAGTGCAGCCAGGACTGGCAACAGACTTAACCAGGCTCTAGTCTCGTGGGGAAAGTCTCGGTTTTGGGCCTCGAAAAAGGGGTGGGGTCTCAGGTGGAAGGAGCTGAGGGTGATGGCTGGCCTTAGCGATTTAAAGGGCCTGGGCTCAGGCCGCTGCTGCTAGCAGTGTAGTGGTAGAGGTTGGCCAGAACCCTGGGCCCTTTTAAATTGCCAGGGTTTGGGGCAGCTTTTCCCTTTTGCTTCCCCTACCTCCCATCGGTCATCCTGAGTGCAGCTTTTCCCAAACTGTGGTTGCCGTAACTGGGAACTTTGTGGTGATACACGGTAGGGATGTTAAATATCGGTTAATTGAATAGTCGATTAACCTCATGAATTCTTATAGGTTATTTGACTATCCTATAGTCCCTGGGGGTGCAGCTGGCAGCCAGTGCACTCTGGCCCCACTCCTGAGGAACCCCCTGCCCCTCCATGCTGCTGCCTCTGTAACAGAGGCAGCAGCATGGGGTACCAGGCGGGAGCTGGTCCATGAGGGGAGTCAGTTTAAAAACCAGCTTCCCTCATGGACTGGCTGCCTGTCGCCCCATACTGCTGCCTCTGATTACAGAAGCAGCAGCGCCTGCCCACCTGGCTTCTAAGACACTTTAAATGCAGAGCTGTAGCGAGCCTGCTAAAAAATTTTCTGGCGGTGGTGGTGGGGGGGAAATGCATGTAGTCTATAGCATTAACTGATGATCTTTTGCTAATTTATTAATCAGTTAATCGACTACCCATTACATCCTTAATACATGGCTGCTCCTGCGTTTCTGACGTCTCCTTGTTTCCAGCTGCTAAAGCACATTAAAGAGAGTTAAAAATACATTAAATCTTCATCTTCCCACATAAGCAATTGCAGTAGTTCACCTTGGGGTGGTGGTAGCTCACAGGTGGTGTGGAAGATTGTCCATCAGTGGAAAATGGGAGAGAAGGATCAGTATCCGCAAGACACTGTTAAAATATGATCAACTTCATGAAAATGTTTGAGAACACCTGACTTGGGATTGCCATAGGATATGGAGCCTGTCACTCATTATGAATTGACAGTTCAAATTTGGCTGAGGTGAACAGCAATGGAAAGTTTTTTTTTGTATACAGATAGCTCACTGGTCAGTGTAAAATGGTGGGGATTTTGGAGAATCTCAGTCCAGCTGTTACTACACAGGTGTTCACATTGCAGAATCCTGCAGCACCACTGACTGCTTGATTTACTGCCTCAGCTAAAAGGACCAGGGCTGTGGAACTACATTCCCCCACCCATTTCTGCAGAGAGAGCCCCTTCAGGCCAGGGCTCAGGTGTCTCGTATTGAAGGGATGATGAAGGATAATTTGAATTGCTCCTTGTCCCATCCAGGGCATTGTTCACAAGCAATACCTTCTCGGAGGAAAAGAACCCACTATATACCAGTGTTTAAATAATGGTAATCTAGTTGAAAAAAGTAAAAAGTGGGCTTTGTACAACAGAGATGCAGTACTTGTCATATTCTAACTTAGCTGTTTGGAACAGTAAATATTAGGGATGTAAAATCCAGTTAATCAGTTAACCAGTTAAATGTTAGGTCAACCTAATGTTTAACCGGTTAACCGACTAAAGCGGGATCCACGGTGGGGACCACTTCCGGCCTGGCTGGAGCAGTCCCCAGCCCATGGGGCTCCCACCCCCAGCCTGAGGGTGAGGCTGTCTGCCAGCTTCCAGCCCTCACCAGATCAACCCCAGTTGGTGGTAGGCCCCCTGCGGGGCTGAAGCAACCCCCTCCTTGGGCAGGCTAGGAGATGCTCCAGCCCTCACTGGTTAACCAGAAAAGATAAGCATTACCCAGTTAGGGTGATGGTAACTGGTTAACCTTTCATGTCACTAGTAAATATAAAGAATTGCAACATTTTTAGTATCGTCAATATTCAATTTTGCTTGTATTTATGACTGAAAACTTTTTTTTTTTTAATCTGAAGCATTTAGATTATTGTGGGAAAATGAACATCGACTTTTTTTAATTTGGAAAAAAATGTTGAATATTAAATGTGGTAAAGCCTAAATGGGTGTCCATCTTGAATGTCTCTTAATTCTAAATGAGAACTTTTAATACGTGTTTCTATTTAAAGTTTGGGCTAGCGAGGGGATTGAAACAGATGTATTAGCCTCTGTGTAAGCAATGGTAATTTGTTACTGCAGATGCATGTGACGTAACTCAGAGATTACTTCTATCCCTGCTAAAGCATGATTATTTCAGGTCTCTTTATTCTTTAAATAGATATGCTTCTCATGTGATTTGCATCTCTTTGTGTCAACAGCCAGGCTGAAGTTGAAGTAAACGTGGCATCAGATTAGTAAAATGGACTCCAAAAAAACCTGCTGTCCATTAGTAGGATGCATTTCAGAAAGCCTTTTCAGTTTAAATTTGAGCCTTTTTTTGCCCATGTAGTGCGAGTATCATTTTATAAGTGTTGAATTCCGTAAGTTTCAGCAGCTTGGTTTACTAAAACCAAAATGGTTAAAGGTAAGCTATTTACTTGAAATAGGTATATTTTAAACTTGGCCTCAATAAGTACCATTCTGAGGACAATAGTAGTGCATTAATCAATCTAGATCGGTAAAGGAAATGAAGGGGATTATTTTACTGTGTTTATGTATTCCCACTTCTTAAATTTAATATTTAGATTCTTTAGTCCGTTACAGTGACACTTTTTTTTTTGTTAGGACCTGAAATTTGTTGTTGTTGTAGTAAAACTTTTGATCTTTTAAGAGTGTTTGTTGCATGTAGGTGTTGTAGCTTTGGGAGCTTTTCTTCTGAAACTTCCTGTTAACTGAAAAAAAAAATGGTGTAGTATCTCAAGAAGCGAGAGATGGTTGCCACAGCATTTTTGTATGGGATGTTTAAGAAGAGGCTTGTTTAGTCATGTCTGTTTCCCCTTCCTCCCTTCCCACAAAATGGCACAGGCCAATTTACTGGAGGGTGAAAAAAGAAGATTTGAGGAAAAAAGTCTAAAACCAGAAATGTGAGGGATGTGTAATTTTATTTCTGTAGACCTGGCTATTTGCTTGTTTGTCTTCTGCAGGCATCATACTAGAAACTGTGTCTCATTGGCTGTTTTGAGTAGAAAAGAAGGCTGCAATTTTAGCTGTGGTGCATTCTAAGAACTGCGGGAAGAACGTGCTAAGGAAATTACACTTGCAGTATCAGAGTTAAGCAGAATTGTACATGTATCTGAAATGCATGTGGGTATAATCCCCACTGTAAAAGGTGTGATGAGACATTGATGAAGATGTGTCTATTTTTGAAAAAACTAAGCTTAGCAAAGCCTGGTTTTACATAGGAGTGGGATCTGTCAGCGATGATTGCTTTGTATATAAAACTCAGCAGGCCAGAGAACAGAGAGAGCAGCAGTCAGGAAGTGGTGCTTGATTGCTGTTTGATTTACAATGGCTAAATGCATGTGTAAACACTGAAGAAATATTATTGTTTACTTTTTAAAATCTCTGTTACAGTTTCATCATGACAACAGAGAAGAGTTTGGTGGCTGAGGCAGAGAATCCTAAACAACAGCAGCAAAAAGAGGAGGAGGTAGCTGCTGAAACACAGAAGCAAGAGGCTTCTTTGGAGGAGGCTTCCCAACAGGTATCTGAGGGACATAATCAAGCTGAACAGAAGCAGAAGGCTTCCAACGGTGATACCCCCACACACGAAGACCAAAACAAGAACAAAGAGCGCTGCACGTCTGAGAGTCGGGGCCTGTCACGCTTATTTTCATCATTTCTCAAAAGGCCCAAATCTCAGGTTTCTGAAGAAGGCAAAGAAGTGGAAAATCCACAACAGACAGGTGAAGGAGGTCAGAAAGAGAGAGATCTAGAAGCCAGTCCTGATGAAGAGATTCTACTCAAGGCCCCAATAGCAGCTCCTGAACCTGAACTCAGGACTGACCCATCTTTAGATCTTCATTCATTAAGCAGCGCAGAAACACAGGTAAACAAAAGCAAAGTTGATTTGGATTCTCTTTTGCTTCTTTGTCTGCAAGCGCATGTAGTTAGGATTGTTTGTCAGGTTAAGTGAGAAGCAAAGCTTTGTAATCCTGCTATGATAGATTTCATCAATGAACCCTCGACATTCTTAAATATCCCTTGTAAAATTCTAATATTTGACAGATATTATGCTACTTGTGGTACTTTCTGCTCTTTTATATTTTTGTATGCTACAATGTGATCTAATTTTTACTCCTACCATTTTAATCCTAATATGTTTAATCTCCAAAGCATCATATAAATACTAAAAAAACCCTCACAATATTCCTCTGAGGCAAGAAAAGTTATGTTAGGATTAGAACTCAGATTTACATCATAATAAAATGACTTTTAGTGCTCATTTTGAAATATTCTGACGTATGCGCTATGGGTGGAAGAAAAATAAATAGAAAACACAATAGACGTCATAGTTGTGTTCAGCACAAAACAAACTGCAGACTTAAAGCAACACAAGTAACAGTTCAGACCTGATGGACCTCAGTTGAGTTTACACTGTTTTCCCACCAGTGCATCAGGCCCTGTTTTTTCTGTGGCCCCACAAATACTAATATTTTTCACTTAGAGCATATATAGATCGGGGCTTTAAAGGGCGGCTAAGGATTATAAGTGTACAACTATAATTTTCTGGTTCCCTTAGACACCTTTAAAATCCTGGCCTTAAATGCATAGACTTCAGAACTTTAAAAGGTAGGTATTCTCTCCATTTACTGATGGGAAACTGGGGAACAGAATGTCAATAATCAAAATGTTCAGAAGTGGCCTGTGGTTTTAGGTACATCATCTTATGGCTACTGGACTTAAAATACAATGGACTTCTTTCTTTTTTACTGGAAGTGCTATGTATCTGCAACTTAGAGTTCAGCTGGCATTGTGGTTGCTTAGTACAGTAAACTTCTGATAATCCGGCACCTTTAGGACCCAGGGGGTGCTGGATTATCAGATATGCTGGACTATCAGAAGGGGGGGCTATGAGGGGTCTGGAGTGGGGTGGGAGGGGATGCCACCCCAGACCCGTCATAGCCCTCCCCCTTACGATAGTCCGGCTCTGGCCCAGGCGTCCCTGATTCAGCTGCTGCTGGTCAGTTTCAGCAGCAGCAGAATCGGGGATTCCTGCAATAGAGCAGCTGGGGTGCTGCGGGGTTGGTCTCGTAGCGCCGCCCCTCGGTGCTGCGGGACCAACCCGGCAGCACCCCAGCTGCTCTGCCCCAGGGGTCCCCGATTCAGCCACTGCTGAAACAGATCAGCAGCTGATTCCAGGAAGCCCGGGGTAGAGCTGCTCTGCCCGGGGCTTCCTGGAATCAGCCGCTGATCTGTTTCAGCAGCGGCTGACTTGGGGACCCCTGGGGCAGAGCAGCGGGGGTCCTGCCGGGTTGGTCCCGCAGCGCCAAAGGACTGCGCTGCGGGACCAACCCGGCAGCACCCCAGCTGCTCTGCTCCCGGCTTCCCCGATTCAGCTGCTGGTCAGTTTCTGCAGCAGCTGAATGGGGGAAGCCTGTCCGGCTGCCCCAGCACTTCTGGGTTCCTGATGGTGCCGGACCATCAGGAGTCCCGGAGCATTGGATGCCGGACTAATGGAGTTTTACTGTATTTGGAAGAGTTAGGCCCAATGTTTTATAACAGCTAAAGTTGGTGTCTGTTTCTGAATAATTTAGCCTGGGTAAAGGCCCATAGTCTCCAAGGGTGGGTTATAGTCCCAAACAAGTGTGTATATATCTGGGAATAAAATCAGGGTCCCTTGGTTCCCAGCCTACTGGACAGACTACTGTTGTTGTCAATAGTGTAAATAGACAGCTCACTGCTAGTTTCTTTTGGCTCGAAAACTTTGAGAAATTTCCACTTTAAATTTTATAGTATTGCCAAACCAAACATTCAGAAATCATGAGTTAGGCTCCCCAAAATCATGACATTAAAAATTGTGATTTTTTTGGGCTTCTTTTGGTTTCTGAACCTTTTTAGTATACTTGTCTCCAATCTAAGATGAGATGCCACTTACAGTACATTGAATGAGTCTTCATAATATAATCAACTTTGTCCCTTCTGATGTGCTTTGATTAACTAATAGTTAATTAGACTGATTTTAAATTTTCATTAGACTTCAAAATTAATATGCATTTCCACTGATTAAATATCCAGTGATATGGAGCTGTTGTTTTAGATTCACTGCAGACTTGGGCAGACATCACTGCATTGGATTACATTTAAATTATATTCAGTGACAAGGGCTAGATATTTAGCTAAAAAAAAAAAAAGAAATACAGCACCAGAGAAAATCTCTTGGTTGCTGAGCCAGTGTGAGGTGGCTCACTTTGAGGTCTAAATGGATTTAATCACCTGTAGTATATTTATGCTTTGTGACACTACATGTTTAAAACATTTAAATAATAAATATGGTGTTGTGGGATTGCAGCCTGCCCAGGAAGACAGGAGAGAAGATCAAGACCTTGAGATTAAGGAAGGAGACGGAGTGAACGAAGAGTGTTCCAAGGCAGAGTTGAAAAAAGAGAACCCTGAGACAAAAGCAGACCAAGAATTAAAAGTCACTCAGAGATCAGTAAGAAGACACAGAAATATGTACTGCAAGGTTTCCTTGCTGGATGACACCATTTACGAGTGTACTTTGGATGTAAGTCTCATAAGATGAAGGGGTAGGGAGAGTTCAGAATTGAGTGATGATGCCAGTGAAGTAAATGGTAAAATTCCAATTGAGGAGGAGTGTATCTTAAACCATAACAATTATTTAAAATATATTATGAGAAAGTAGAGCACTTTGGACACTGCAGAAAAAAAATCCAAACTCTCTTTTTGCGGGATGCTTTTAAATTGCTGATGCTTTCTCTGACACTTGCCTCTGTTCTTGATGCTCAGGCTGGAGTTGGATTTTTTTTACATCCCCTTAAGATTTGATTATAACTGTAAGTATTCAGATCAGAGCCAGAAATTTTTTCTTGTCAGCTAAGGGATTTGTATGCTTTACTGGATTTTCCCCCAGAATACCTTGGAACCCTAAGATCACATGTTGCTGACTAATAACATGAAAACGTATTCAGCAAATCATTAGAGAAAAATTATCACCACTTAAACTTGGTCAGAATACCTGTTTGGGGTTTTTTATTCTTCAAATTCCTCCTCCTCATATGAGTGAAGCTTTGAAAGAGTTAGAAGCAGTGTTTCCTCTAATTATTCCCGTGCATGAGGGATATTAATTTTGTTACGTGCACCAATATGAAGGTGGTACGTGGTGGGGGTGGGGCATAAGAATTTGGAGTGTGTTTGAGGGGGAAGCCTCAGGGCTGGGACACAGGGTTGGGGTACGGGAAGTTGCAGGCTCTAGTCTGGTTGGACTGGTAATGATGACAGGGTGCAGCCTGCCCTAGGGTTGTAGTATGGGGAGTTGATTCCTACCAGCCTCTCTCCTTGCAGCAGCACCTGTGCTAGGGCACAGGTAAAAATTGCAAGCAGGGTGACTATGCCTAGCAATATTGTTCAGAATATAAATAGCATTAAACAAATAATGTTTTTAGCATCTCCTTGCAGTCAATTTCAGAAGCTCTGCTCAATTTCCCTATAGCTGAAAGGTTTTCGGCTAATCATGGTTTTCATATGTATCTCAGGGGATGATCCCAGTGTCATAGCAGTAAGAAGTCAACAGAAATCTAATTCAACATCTGAGTACAAGCTTAACCCGTAAACAATCTGGCACTTAGTCTTTGAGACATAATGAGCTTGTTAAGCCTTGCACCCACTGGTTAAGTATAGTTGCTTATTTGTGACCTGTTTAGGATTCAGGAGCTTCTTGTAAAAAGCAGTTACCTCAGAGGACCCTGTACAATGATGCACTGATCTAAGTGTTTGTGTACCAGTGTTGCTGCCATTGCTATTCCATGGATCAGCAGCTATTCGGGAGCCTGATCCAGTGCTATAGTAGCAATAAGAAACATACCTCTAAAAAAGATCTCAAATGCGAGGACCTGTGTTTTTACATCTTATTCAAAAGAGAATACCTCCAGTGGGAAAGGGACTTTTAATGCCATGTTTGGGCATTGATTCATTCAGTACTTTCAGGGCAGAATATTGCTCTCATCCCACTTCCTACAGCACATAGCCTTGGTTGGTGTTGGTTGCTCTCTCATGTACTGAACCAATGCGTCAGCCTTACTTGATTTGTGTTCTTTAAGGGTGTGTCTAGACTACAGGGTTTTGTCGACAAAAGTCTACTTTTGTCGACAAAACTATACCTGCGTCTACACTACTGCTGAGTTCTGTCAACATAACGTCGACAGAACTTAGCAGTTTTGTCGACGCTGGTAAACCTCATTTTACGAGGCATAACACCTTCTGTCGACAGAGTTCTGTCGACAGAAGGTGTAATTGCATGTAAACTGTCCTTTGCGTCTACACCACCATGTCGACCTTGCTTTGTCGACAGAACTGAATGTAGTCTAGACGCTCTTTGTCGACAGAAGCTTTGTCGACAGTATCTGTCGACAAAACTTGTCGACAGAAGCCTGTAGTCTAGACGTACCCTAAGTGATTTTTCATATGCATTCTGCAGTAGGTGCTTGAATTTTTTTCCCTTAGCAATCCTCCTAGAGGAGCACCTCTAATGACCCCTGGAGGGGTGCCTCCATGGTACGGTATAAGAGATGCCACTCACTTCCTTCACTCTCAGTTTCTTCTTGCCACCAGTGATGGTGTATGGAACTGCCTTTACTCCAGCTACCATTTGTTCTTACAGTAACTGTTTTCATTGTTTTCATGTATATATTTCCTTAGTGGTGTAATACCTAACTAATTAATGACTTCATAGAATCATAGAGCTGGAAGAGACCTCAGGAGGTCATCAAGTCCAGCCTCCTGCTCAAGGCAGGACCAATCCCAACTAAATCAACCCAGCCAGGGCTTTGTCAAGATGAGACTTAAAAACCTCTAGGGATTGGAGATTCCACCCCATCCCAGTGCTTCACCACCCTCCTAGTGAAAGAGTTTTTCCTAATATCCAACCTAGACTTTTCCCACTGTAACTTGAGACCATTGCTCCTTGTTCTGCCATCCATCACTACTGAGAACAACCTCTCTCCATCCTCTTTGGAACCTTCCTTCAGGAAATTGAATACTTGTCTTCCCTTTTGAGACTCTATCTGGGCCCAGGCATGCCCCTTTTCCCAAGCTCTGCATAGGCATCCCCAGATATTAGCGGGACCCGTATCCAGATCCCTCTATGCTGGAGGCCCTGCAGCAGCACAGGACATAATTACTTTGGTGCTGGCCACCCAGGTATCTACAGCTCCCTGGTCATGGGGGAAGCCTGTGCTCAGACCTTTGATGTCTCTGTCCCAGTGGCACCGGATCCTACCAAAAAAAGGTTCCAGGCAGTGCTCACCTGCTTGAGGCTGCCACAAGTCACACTGTGAAACAAATCCTACTGATCCCCCTGTAACTGTTGAGTTGGCAACCCATATGGTGGGGTTCCTGGCACAACTCTCCAGCACAGGAACATGGATGTTTGGTTGCACACACTCCCCACTGAGAACAGGAGCACTGGTATTGAAGATGCCAGAATTCAGGGTTCTCAAGAGGGTACTACATGATTGCTCAAGAGAATGATGCAGATCCCTGTTGGACACTGGTCCCCTCCTCAAGCATCGTTCAGGATGTGTGCTTAGAGGCACAGGATCTGGCCCCATGTCATGGTTCTGGTCACTATTGCAACACCATTTGTACAGCCAGCAGCATAGATTGCCAGCCACCAGCTGCTCTGGATCCACTGGATGCAGCTGTTCCAACTGGCAATTGGACTCCTTGACGCCAGGTTCAGAGTCATGAGCACAGCATCACTCTTGACATATCTACAGAGGATCTGTCTCTCCATATAACAGTTGATTGTGTCATGGCCCTGCATCCGTGAATTATGAATCCAGGGCTCACAAGAGGTGACAGACCAGACCTTCACCGTGGGGCATATCTTAATGATGGTACTGCAACTGGTGCAGTGCCACCAGGCACCATAATTGGCACCATATCAGCTGAACCTGTTGGGATTCACCTAGCTGGTCCAGATTGCATGTTCAGTGCCGGAGCCTCAGAAATACTGTCTGCTTCCCTCTCTCATCACCACCAGGAAGCATCAGTAGAAGGGACTCCTGAAGTCCCACAAGACAAGGACGTGCATACCCAGGAGACTTTGGTACCAGCGGAGATGCCAGTTACTATGTCGTTGTCATTCACATCCCCAGACTAGACCCTTATGGCACCCCTTCTGACAGTCCCTTCCAAAGATACTAAACCTCATCAAGAGCTATTGAAGAGGGTGGCTTCCAGCCTCCACCTGTAGGCAGAAGAGCTGGAAGAGCCCTGGAATTATCTGTTTAATATGCTCAGTGCTGTAGCACTGGCTGGTGTAGAACTGTCGCTCCATGAAGGGATGGCGAAGATCACAGATGCCCTGCGCTGCGTCTATACTGCCACGCTGTGCCGGATCAGCTGATTGTCGGCACAGCGCGGCCGCCATTTTTATTTTAATGCAGCGGGGATTATTTAAATCCCCGCTTCATTGACTATGTCGAGTAAACTACTTTACATGGCTCTGTCGATGGCCAAGTATTTCATGTAGTCTAGACGCACTCTATGGTGTAGGGCGAAAGGCTAGATTTCACAGAAGGCGACAATATTTCATGGTCTGTGACATGTTTTTAATGGCTGTGAGTTTGGTAGAGCCCTAGATATAAATTGCTGAGGGGATATAGACTGGACTCTTGAAGAGAATCAGCACCCCTTTTTTTCTTCAGAGTCCAGCTCTTCTCGGTGATATGAGTAGAATGGAAGAATTATTGGGGGAGGAAGAGGAGAGCCAAAAAACAATGCATAACATCTAATCCCTGTTACATATTTGCAGAAACATGCCAAGGGTCAGGATCTACTTAGAAAAGTATGTGAACATCTCAATCTTCTAGAAGAAGACTACTTTGGACTGGCCATTTGGGACTCTCCAACTTCTAAGGTAAGAAGATGCTTGTGGAACTACCATCTGCAATCAAAACAACACCCCCCCCCAAAAAAAAATCCAACCCTTTTCTTGATAGGTTAGTGTTTCCAAAATGGGAAGAAGTGTGTAGCGTCCCAAACAATTATGTTTAATCTAGCTCTATTTTCATTTTTCCCTTATGCATTAAAGGCATTTTCTAAGAAAAGTCAAAGTTTGTGAATTGTAAGAGAAATGAACCTTAAAAGTGGTTCCCCCCAGTACTGGCTCCATGGAGCTATCTGCCTCCCCTCCTCTCCCCCTCCCCCGCCCACATGGAGCTGCCTCTGTGGTAAGCCTGGGCCCGCCATGGGCTGAGGTTGTTCCACGACAGCAGCAGCCCCTGTCCACAGGCGGTCTGAGCTCCCCACAGACAGGGATTAAAGTGCTGCTAGATTATTTGTTTTTGTTTTTTAAGTTTTTCCAAAACCATAAAGTAAAACTGACCAATTTGGGTTTCAGTATGAAGAATTTAACTCATATTCAACAAATACATTAAAATTGCATTGTCTCTCTAAATATTTACACCTATTGATTTCATTTGGTGATCCCTAGTTCTTGTGTTGTGGAAACAAGTAAATAGCTTTTCCTTATTTATTTTTTCCACATCAGTTATGATTTTATGGACCTTAATCATATCCCCCTTAGTCTTTTCTTTACCAACTTGAAAAATACCAGTTTTATTAATCTCTCCTCATATGGCAGCCATTCCATACTCCTAATCATTTTTGTTACCCTTTTCTGAACTTGTCAAGTTGTTCAAGTTAAGTCTTTTAATCAGCATGCTTTGTGTTGTGGGAAGAAAATTGCCAGATCATCGTTCTTTAAAAACTTATTTTTTGTCTTCCTCTTTATATCCATCCCTTTTTGAGATAAGCAAGTTAACATAGGTTTTGGACAGGAGGAATGAAAAAAGCTATTTGCATTGCCTTCTTTGACAACAGAATTATGCACATGCTATTTTACTCATCTGAGGTCTGACTGGGAGTTTGCTTCTGTAATATTTTAAAGACCGCAAAGAGTGCGGGAACACTGTCAGCAGGATTGTTTGGTGACAGATTTATTGTCACTTAAAAACAAGAATTAACAGCTTCTTGATACAGATTTTAATCCCAGTCTAGAATAAACTGTTCGGCTGTGTCTAGACTGGCAAGTTTTTCCGCAAAATCATCTGCTTTTGCGGAAAAACTTGCCAGCTGTCTACACTGGCCACTTGAATTTCCGGAAAAGCACTGACGATCTCATGTAAAATCATCAGTGCTTTTCCGGAAAAACTATGCTGCTCCTGTTTGGACAAAAGTCTTTTTCTGAAAGACTTTTGCGCAAAAGGGCCAATGTAGACAGCATAGTACTGTTTTCCGCAAAAAAGCCCTGATCGCGAAAAAGGCGATCGGGGCTTTTTTGCAGAAAACCGCGTCTAGATTGGCCACGGACGCTTTTGCGCAAAAAGTGCTTTTGCGGAAAAGCATCCTACCAATCTAGACGCGCTTTTCCGAAAATGCTTTTAACGGAAAACTTTTCCGTTAAAAGCATTTTCGGAAATTCATGCCAGTGTAGACGTAGCCTTCATGTTTATAGCCACCCTTTGTTCTTTTGGGATAATTGCTTTATATCTGTATGTTTGTTTAATGAAGTGTAAACTGCCAAGTCTGAAATTCCCTCTAGCACGACCAATGCTCTCTAAAGGGTCCTCACCCACTAAAGTGATCTTAACAAGGGAGCTTAGGAAATCATCTTCTGAACCTCCTCCAAAGCGATGGAAAGATTTGGCAGGAGGAGGTGTGTATCTATCTCTCTATCTATCTCTCTCTCTATCTATCTATGCATGTGAAAATATGATACCAAAATATTTCTACCTTCAGAAATAAACCAACAATATCCCTAAAGAAGGGTGCTTTTCCTTTCTGTTTTTCCAATGTGGGAAAGTAAATAGAGAGACTGTTTAGTACTGAAGGAGTTTATATTGGAGTTTATACTAGTCTGAAAGGGAGAATTGTTTTCCAGTGATTCATGAAATAGCATTGGATAAGAGAATCATTAATTACCAAACCCTTCATTGTCTACTGGATTAGGCAGACAGGATGAGTTTCATGAATGCATGACTACACTCGTGCTGTGTTAGAGCCAGGAGCGAGGCTGTTCCATTCTCATCAGAGAAAGCTAACATTTGTAGCATCAGCACTTGCATTTAAAATTGCTATGCTGACAAAACCATAGGCACCCCCCAAATGCTACATAGGCTGTAGGTTTTGCTTTTCATGAGTTTCATAACTATAGTTTTAAAGGAAGAGTAGAAGAGAGCATATTCCTTAGAGGTGTGCATGGGTTAAACATTCCAATTTTTTACCTCAGAAGACCTAGATTTTCAAATCCCACTTAGGTCACATGACCGTGAATTTTACGACTTAATTCTAGCCTCTAGAAGATGATTATCAGTTTTGCATTGTCTCCATATAGTGTGGCACAGCTGATTGTTTCTCCTAAGAGGAGGCTCCTGACTGAGCTGTCAGAGGTTACCATTGAATGAGGAGCTTTGGCAGGACTGAGAGATAATTTCATTGACCACAATTCTGCACCATTTCCTTGATCCCTAAACATACAAATAAAGGAGAGATGAATTACCAGTGACTAAGGAAACTGGATAAAAATGTCTAATATATTATCTCTTCAAACTAATTATCAGAAATTAGTGCCTTTTTAAAAAAAAGTTTATTCTCTCCTCACTGCCAGCTTTCATGATCGGTGCCAAACGTTTTGGTTGGCATTGCAGATACCTTCACTTAATCCAATGATTGGTACTGTCTGTAATAAAGACTATAATCGAGAGGGGCTTGACTGTCTACCTAAAAATCCAAATGAGTGTGAGCAATACATCTTAGAATACAGAGGGATGATGGGGGAGAGGGTGGGGAGGCAGAAGGGGGAGAGTGTGAGAAAATGTCACTGTTAAAACCAGTATGGGTCTGTGCCTTTTTCTTGCTAATGGCTAGCAGTAGCTTATACTGTCTGATGCTGGAACTTGAGAGAAATAAGGGTTGCACTGTTTCATCGGAGTATTTATTTTAATGAGAAAACTTCAGCCTATTCTGCACCTTTAGATCCACAGAGAGATGGCTTCCATTAGAAGCCACTTTATTACTCAAGGCCATTGTAGAAGCTCAGATAAATAAAGCTTTTTGTATATAGAGCTTTCGTGTCCTTTGGCATTTTAATTGATCATGTATGCAGTGTATATGTACTAATTGGCCACTAGGGGACAAAAGTAATGAATTCTGCTGCTTTCCTTCATCCCATCCTTCCCGCTCTCCACTTCCCGCTCTCCACCATTGCCTGTAGGTGAATGGTGTGATGACGTAGTAGGCCGAGTAGGCTGGAGTGACCATGATGAAAAATGGGGAAATGTACATGTGTCTGAGTAGTGTTGGGGTAGATGGATATTGTGGATATTGTAAAATACAGATAGTATACGCACATTACAACAGCCAGTTCAGTTCACATTTGATAGCTGCCTATTTAGCTGATTGGCAGTACAGGCAGTCCCCGACTTACGCGGATCCGACTTATGTCGGATCCGCACTTACGAACGGAGCTTTCTCGCCCCGGAAGTCGGGCGAGAAAGCCCCGTTCGTAAGCTGCTCCGGTGCCCCTGGTCTGCTGGAGACGGTCTCCAGCAGACCAGGGGCACCGGAGCAGCTTACGAACGGGGCTTTCTCGCCCGACTTCCGGGGCGAGAAAGCTCCGTTCGTAAGTGCGGATCCGACATAAGTCGGATCCGCGTAAGTCGGGGACTGCCTGTACTGCCAATCAGCTAAATAGGCAGCTATCAAATGTGAACTGAACTGGCTGTTGTAATGTGCGTATACTATCTGTATTTTACAATATCCACAATATCCATCTACCCCAACACTACTCAGACACATGTACATTTCCCCATTTTTCATCATGGTCACTCCAGCCTACTCAGCCTACTACGTCATCACACCATTCACCTACAGGCAATGGTGGAGAGCGGGAAGTGGAGAGCGGGAAGGATGGGATGAAGGAAAGCAGCAGAATTCATTACTTTTGTCCCCTAGTGGCCAATTAGTACATATACACTGCATACATGATCAATTAAAATGCCAAAGGACACGAAAGCTCTATATACAAAAAGCTTTATTTATCTGAGCTTCTACAATGGCCTTGAGTAATAAAGTGGCTTCTAATGGAAGCCATCTCTCTGTGGATCTAAAGGTGCAGAATAGGCTGAAGTTTTCTCATTAAAATAAATACTCCGATGAAACAGTGCAACCCTTATTTCTCTCAAGTTCCAGCATCAGACAGTATAAGCTACTGCTAGCCATTAGCAAGAAAAAGGCACAGACCCATACTGGTTTTAACAGTGACATTTTCTCACACTCTCCCCCTTCTGCCTCCCCACCCTCTCCCCCATCATCCCTCTGTATTCTAAGATGTATTGCTCACACTCATTTGGATTTTTAGGTAGACAGTCAAGCCCCTCTCGATTATAGTCTTTATTACAGACAGTACCAATCATTGGATTAAGTGAAGGTATCTGCAATGCCAACCAAAACGTTTGGCACCGATCATGAAAGCTGGCAGTGAGGAGAGAATAAACTTTTTTTTAAAAAGGCACTAATTTCTGATAATTAGTTTGAAGAGATAATATATTAGACATTTTTATCCAGTTTCCTTAGTCACTGGTAATTCCCTGTGGTGTTTCTTTTAATACATGCCAGCTGTGTGAATTTTACTATTTTCTCTTCTTACAGATATGGCTGGATTCTACCAAAGAAATAAAAAAACAGGTTCATGGTAAGTAGATTGAGTCCATCATGATCTTTTTTTTTTTTTTTTTTCTTAATACACTGCTGGATAATTTATAGCTTTGGCCTACAGTTGAGAATCCCCCAAAGAACAGTTAGAGTTCATGTAGGGGTGGTTGGCAGAGATCAGCTCAAGTTCAAACAGCATGCAATCTTTCTTCTTTTACACTTAATGTGCTGGACTGAAGAAAACACTGGCACTTCTTTACTATGAGGAATATCCTACAATATGTTTTCAGGAGGCAGACAAATGTTTTACTGCTATAGTGCAGTTCAGAATTAGGTAAATCTCTTTCAGCTTGCTAGTATAGTGGGGAAAATAAGTATGCCATGGAGAATCAGGATGAATAAGGAGATCGGAAAGGGGGAAAAGAAAAGTATGTGCCACAGCAAACATATTGGCTGTGTCTAGACTGGCAAGTTTTTCCGCAAAAGCAATTGCTTTTGCGGAAAAACTTGCCAGCTGTCTACACTGGCTGCTTGAAGTTCCTCAAGAACACTGACTTCCTACTGTCTGAAATTAGTGCTTCTTGCGGAAATACTATGCTGCTCCCATTCGGGCAAAAGTCCTTTTGCGCAAAGCTTTTGCGCAAAAGGGCCAGTGTAGACAGCTCAGATTTGTTTTGCGCAAAAAAGCCCCAGTTGGGAAAATGGCGATCATGGCTTTTTTGCGCAAAAGCGCGTCTAGATTGGCACGGACACTTTTCCGCAAAAAGTGCTTTTGTGGAAAAGTGTACGTGCCAATCTAGACGCTCTTTTCCGCAAATGCTTTTAACAGTAAACTTTTCCGTTAAAAGCATTTGCGGAAAATCATGCCAGTCTAGACATAGACATTGTGGATTCTTCAGAACTGCTTGAGCATCCAAGCAGCTGAGTTGACTAGCTTGAACATTGTCAGGATAAATGTCTCACAGTATAAGCAGAAATGGACTGTAACTTCTTCTGATATTGGGCCAGACCTATGCAGGGACCAGTGTCCATGTAGCTTCATTTTCAGAGACTAGTTTTTCTTCAAAGAATATGAACACTCAAGACTTCTCACCTCAGTGAAAATGAAGTTCTGTGCAGGTTTACAGGGGAGAAGAGGAGAGAGATTTCAACAAATCTGAAAATTCTTCTATGCTCTCAGTGACATAAGAGGCAAACCTCCATTGGAATTAATAAACAAACAGCTCTGGGAAAGCTTCCTCATTAGTCATCCATTTTTAAAAAATATGTAAAAGCAACTTTTTTGTGTACAGGTCTTTAGCCATTCTTCTCTTTTGAGACAGTAGGAGTGAAAATAGAGTATTATGAGACTGATGCAAAAATCTACAGCAGAATGATATTTAAAGAGAACCTTGTTTCACTCAGCTGTTTGAGGTAAATTTAAATGCTCTTACTGGACAAATGACATGATTAAGTTACAGACGTCAAAATTGGAACAATGCTTTTCTGCAAACAAGCCCAGAATATTTGTGTTCCTGTTATCTCGGAGCAACTTTCCTTTTATTTAATCTTAAACTTATGAATAATTTGAATGCTTCTGGCACAGCATGATGAAATTGGCAGAATTTCTCTCTAATTCCGCTATAGTGGTGTGTAAAAGACAGATTTGTAAATGGAATCCATTTGGTTTCTCGAATCCTCCCCCATCTTAGCCCCATTTGGAACTTACTACATCTTTTGAGAAACCAAATCAGGAAAACTTGCCTTCTTGAAATAAGTACCATTTTAAACTATTGAATTAGAGGGCAATGAATGAAATCATTATATTTGACTCAAGTTTTTGCTGCACTTTTAGAAATTCCCTATTGAAGCATTTACTGGCTCTGCCCTTCAGATCAGCTATCTAAGGGCAAAATTGATTATCCCTCCAAGAGGAAAAAGTGACTTCATTCTGAACACTTGAAAAAGTAAATCATTAAATCTGCTATCTTCTTGGAATCTGAACTCTCTGAATTAAGGAGAACAGGGATGACACCCACAAAATGTAATTATTATAAGGTGCTATATCAGAACACCATATTTTATATTATTTTAATGAATTCACTTTTCAGTTTATTTAAAAATCTTTATTTTCAAATACAGAATAACTACCAGAGAGTTTATGAAAGGTTTAATTTTTATATAAACTGGGAAAATAAACATACAGTTTTATATCTTTGCTTGTCAGATGTGATTTACTTGAACAGTAGCTGAGCATGCATTTTGAATATAATTGTAGTGCTCTGAAGAAGTAACACTGATGACACTAACTAGAGCTAAGCATTTGTCTCTGAAAGGGCTACATAACTCTTGTAATTCAGCTGTACTAAAGCATTTCAGTCTTGACCTGCAAAATCCTTGCTGTTTAACCCTGGGTGTTTCTTGACGAGAGATTTACATTTTATATTAATTTATAGGGTGGCTGTGTGACATGGGCCAACGTTTAACCACTATACACCTTTCTTCTTACCCAAGGAAGATTAAAAACCTCAGTATTTTGTAGTGAAATGCTAATTCATTAACCCACAGCACAGTTTGACCTCTATTCATATCATCTCTATAAAAACTGCAGTGTTTTATGAACAGTAGATTCCAAAAGAAGTGAATTCCACATTTCTGGGATGTCTTTCATGTCACGGTGTATATGTTCACCTCCACATTAGGGATGTTAAGGATTCTCTGTCCCACCCCCACCCTGCGCCGTCTCTATCAGTTAGAGGCAGAAAAGGGCAGGGAGAAGAGGGGGTACTTCAAAGTGACAGTGCCGCATAGCTGAGCCTGGGTGCTGCTGCGCGTGTTCTGGGGAAATGCTGTGTGGAACCCATGGCTCTGCGTGGCATTTCAAATCGGCAGCGCAGCATGGAGCCCGGGGTTAGAGGGGTTCCCCTCTGAGTTCCCCACTGACCCCGGGCTCTATGCTGCGCTGCCACTTTGAAATACACAAGAGCCCTCGTTGCGGACTCTTGTACATTTCAAAGGAGGAATGCAGAAGTGCCTATTGACTGTTGAGTATTCAGAAATTCCATCAACTACTAGCCTAGTTAATTAACCATTACTTAACATCCTTACTCCCCATAGTCTGTTTATGTGTTCCCATAAAAGATATTTTTAATCAATGTCAATAAAAACAGATCAGAGATGTTATCACTTTTCTTTAAATTACATTCTATAATCAATAATTCAAATGGCAACATTAAAATATAACATCATTTGCTTTAAAGAGTCCAATTCAAAATTCATATTTTTATAAACTTCTGTATTGTGAACATTTTGTTGTACATTTTCAAAACTTGTCTGTTTCTAATTACAGGAGGCCCCTGGAACTTTACATTCAATGTGAAGTTTTATCCACCAGATCCAGCACAGCTGACAGAGGATATAACAAGGTAAAGACATTGATTATTACCCATAAACTTTGCTACTCCAATTCAGTACAGTATTGAGAGTGGAAAGTACAATAGAAGTGCATGATATATTTTCAGGTAAAAGCTGAAAAGCTGTTTATACGTATTTGTGTTCAAATATATTTTAGAATTAAATCCATAGGACTAGACATACTCAGGCATCTATAGCCAGTCAGAGCAGCTGTTTTTAATGTGTTTCTCTATATGTGGGAATAGGTTGCATATCTTAGTGGCAGCACCATATCTGAGTGTCTGTTTGGTTAATATGGGGAACTTTTTGTATATAGGGTTTTTCTTTATTGTGGATGTGTTGCATTGAAAGGTATATGTGAAAGATTTTTATGTATACTTTTGTGTGTGGGGGAGGGGGAGAAAGGATGAATGGAGGATGAACACATACTTTTAAATGACTTGAACAAAATCTGATTTCCATTATCAAAAGCATACCCTACTCCATTTTGAAGGAGGTGATATATATATTTTTTTAATTCTGTGGTCATTTTTCCTTTCATACTATTATTTAATTAAATTTTTTACAATATTTGTACCCCACCTTTCTATTTAAAATATTCCAGGTGGCTTACAAAATTTTAAAAACACAATATAAATATATATAAAAAATTAAAATACAAGTCCCCAAAGGGGGACATAAAACCTGCTAAGATACCTTGAGAGGAGGAACACACACACATACACAAACTCAAACACCAGTAAAAGCACGGGCAAAAAGGGTGGCTTTAGCCTGGTGCTGAAACAGTGCCAGCATTGGCGCCAGATGGATGTCCCAGGGGAGAGAATTCCACAGCCTGGGAACAAAGACTGAGAAGGCCCTGCTCCGCATAGATGTCTCCACAAGTGGAGGAACACAGAGCAGAACCTCCCCAGCTGTCCTCAATCCCCAGGCAGGCTCGTATGGGAGGAGACAGTCCTTCAAATACTCTGGTCCCAACCCGTTCAGGGCTTTATAGGTCATAACCAGGACCTTAAATTGTGCCCGGAAACATAACGAAAGCCAGTGCACCTGCCAAAACACCAGCATAATGTGCTTCGTATAACGAGTGTTAGTTAAAACTTGAGCAGCTGCATTCGGGACCAGTTGATGTTTCCCAAGACTCTTGAGAGGCAGCCCCACATAAAGTGGATTGCAATAATCCAGTCAGGATGTGACGAGCATGAAGCACCATAGCCAGGTCATTCTTATTCAGAAAGGGTTGCAGCTGCTGGGTCTGCTGAAGCTGCCCCAGAAGCACTCCTAGCCACTGAAGAAATCTGGTTCTCAAATGTTAAAAAAGGGTTCAGGACTCCCAAGATGCATACCTGTTCTTTTAGGGGGAGCGTAACCTCGTCCAGAACAGGTACTACACCACATTCCCAGACAGATGGTTTCCTGATCCATAAGACCTCTGTCTTATCTGAATTCAGCTTCAGCTTATTTGACCTTATCCAGTCCATCACTGCCTCCAGACACCGGTTCAGACTGGTCACTGCCAAACCTGGATCCGATGTCAGAGAAATAGAGTTGTGTGTCATCTGCATATTGATGGCACCATCCTCCATATCTCCTTACAAACTCTCCCAGCGGTTTAATTTAGATGTTAAACAGCATGGGACAAGATGGAACCTTGTGGGACCCCGCAGCACAGTCACCTCAGGGTCGGGCAGCAGCCTCCTAGCTCCACCTTCTGAAAGTGTCCCAACAGGTAAGACCAGAACCACAGCAAAACCATGCCTCCGATACCCAACTCCGCCAGGCACTCCAGAAAGATACCATGGTTGATGATATCAAAAGCTGCCGTACTATTTAGCAGCATAAAAAGTTGCCTTTATCTTCATTTTCCTCAGGAGCCTGAGCTCAAAATAAAGTTATCAGTCTTTGTACTCTCAGTTAAAATCACATCTTCTGCTTTTCCCTGTAGGTATTATTTGTGTCTTCAGCTTAGACATGACATTGTTACAGGACGTCTGCCTTGTTCCTTTGCCACACTGGCCCTGCTAAGTTCTTATACAGTCCAGTCTGAATTGGGAGATTATGACCCGGAGTTACATAACACAGATTATGTCAGTGAGTTTAAATTGGCCCCAAACCAGACAAAGGAACTTGAAGAAAAAGTCATGGAACTGCATAAAACATACAGGTGAGTGCTGTTATTAAGGGAACCAGTCTCTGAACCACAAAATAAATGGAGTAATTAGAATAATAACTATTTAGTATTTTCCCAAATTCTGTGTTTTTAAATTTTCTCTTCAGAGCCATTAATATCTTTTGTGAGCCTCAAACAGAATTACAGTTAGAGAGTTAGTTTAAGAGATAAGTTTTCAGTTCACAAAGGAAAATAGTCTGCTTTAAATAAATGAACAAACAAACTTTAAGCAAGTACAGAATAGGGTTATTGGGTAGTCAAGGGACTACTTTACCACTTGCTTCACTCCCTCATTGCTGCCTCTGATACAGAGGCAGCAAAAGTGGAGGGGGAAGCAGGATCTGGTGCTGGGGAGAGTTGGCTTAAAGGCTGGTTTCCCCAAGCACAGTCTTCCCTGGTGCATGGGGCAAGGGAGGAAACAGGGGAGGCAGAGCTGCAGTAGTCCCAGAGCCAGCACAAGCCATAACTACTCAGTCTCAGCTCACACTGGCTCGAGGAGCTACCCCCACTGGCGCTCTGCAGTTTAAATGTTTTAGGAGCTGGGCTGCCTGTGCACCTGGCTCCTACTACATTTAAACTGCAGAGCTACAGCGGGATTAGCTCCTGGACCTGGCACAAGTCAGGACAGAGCGCCTCCCCTTATCGACTAATTATGTACAAATAGTATACACGATTAGCCCATTACCCGCTTCTTAACATCCTTAGTACCGAATGTCCTTTCAGAATTATAATTCACTTGCTTTGCATAAACTATCTTGCTACTGCTATGAAGGAATCAGATGCTGGGAAAGTCCAGAGTTGGTCATGTAATATTAATTGCCTCATGAGGCTACTTATTAAATGTTGCTTTTACTGTTTCCTTCTCCTCTTCCCCTTCACACTATCCTATTTTTGTCCATTTGTCTGCCTTTTGTTTTTGTTGTAATCCTAGGGTCTCTGGGGTAGGTGTTGTCTTTGTCTTCTCATTTTAGTTGTTTGTATGGTCTCCAACACAATGGGACCTCTAGACGCTACTGCAACATAAAGAATAACAAAGGAGTTGCTGAAAACTTTGGTGAGTCCAAAACTAGTGAGTTTGTCCAGAGAATATCCAGTAGCTGTTGTTTAGTAAAGGGGTTTTCTTCCCTCCTACTGGAAAAAAACAAAACAAACAGTTTTTAGAAGAGTTCTGTGAAACTTTTAAAAGCATCTTTAAGAACTCCACTTTTGGAGTCTGTATAGTCATCAGTATTATGACAGAGAGTTGTATGGTTTTAATTCCACTTAAAACTGTATAGTGTTAATCTTGTCACTTGTTCTCTCTTCTCCTCTGTTGTCTGTTATTCATTTGTCATGTGAGCTGTTTGTGGGCGGGGCCTTTTCTTCCTTTATGTATGTTAGCCCTTAGCATGCTATGGCCTATATCCTTATTTGGAATCTTCTGGTGCTACTGCAAATAATGATAATAGACAACATTGTACAATATCAAATGTATTACAAGTATGTGTGAGAAGTGTAAATGCTAAGTTCTCAGTATTTAACTTTGGTTTTGATGCTGACATGAGCAGAACTCCTCATCATGATTATTGGGGATGTAAAAACGTTTAAAAAAATTAACTGTGTAACTGGTCAGCTGTGGGACTATTGGCCCCGGGGGATGGCATGGTGTGCCTGGCTTGACTGGAGCAACTCTCTGGCCACCACTCTGGCTTGGCTCGGCACCGGTTACCAGGAAGCGGGTGATGCTTAACAGATAACCAGTTACCCACTCACATCCCTAATGATTGTAAGTAGCATAAGTTTTATTCACTAACTCCATATAAAACAAAAAAAATGTGGCTTTTATTAACCCTTGGGTTCATAGAATCATAAGGTTGGAAGACTCTTCAGGAGGGTCATTGAGTCCAACTCCCTGCTAAAAGGAGGACCAATCCCAATTAAATCATTCCAGCCAAGACTTCCAAACCTCTAGGGATGGAGATTCTACCACCTCCCTAGGTAGCCCATTCTTGTGCTTCACCCCTCTCCTAGGCTGTGTCCAGACTCAGGGGTTTTTTTGAAAAAAGTAGCCTTTTTTCAAAAAAACCTCACCTGCGTCTAGACTGCAGCCGCGTTCTTTCGAAATTAAATCGAAAGAACGCGGCTTTTCTTTCGATGGCGGTAAACCTCATTTCACGAGGAAGAACGCCTTCTTTCGAAAGTTCCTCTTTCGAAAGAAGGCGTTCTTCAATGTAAATAGGGCTTCTTCGAAAGAGAGCATCCAGACTCACTGGATGCTTTCTTTCGAAAAAGCAAGCCGCTTTTTCGAAAGTTCAATGTGCAGTCTAGACGCTCTCTTTCGAAAGAGGCTTGCAGTCTAGACATAGCCCTAGTGAAATAGCTTTTCTTACTATCCAATCTAGACCTCCCCCACTGTAACTTGAGACCATTGCTCCTTGTTCTGTCACCACTGAGAACAGCCTCTCTCCATCCTCTTTGGAATCTTCCTTCAGGTAGTTGAAAACCTCCTCACTCTTCTTTTCATGATTTAAATGGATGGAGAAAGCTGATACAATTGTATCCTACCCCAAAGGAAGGATTTCAGTTGGCAGCAATTTTTCAGATTTATTACTGGTTATGTTTCTGTGCTTTCAACTTTGTTGGATGACAATATTAAAGAGAATTAACTTTTCCTATAGCCTAATATTTGTGAGAGGTTTTTTGTGACTTCCTTTTTATGCTGATGGGTCTCTCTTGAGCAGCTCTTGTATTATGCTAAAGGCTCATCATACTCAAACTAAGCCTTTTTAAAAACTCTTGAAAAGATCTCACCCTATATTGTGCGTATTTATGCTATTATACTGACATGTTCAACTACAGAGTTCACAGTGAACTCTGTATTTACAGTCTAATTCTCCTAGCGCTTTGGTATATAAGTGTTGTACAATTTAAAAGAGAGGTTTGTGTGTGGGTAGTTTTAAGGGCAAAAAGAAAATCCTATACAACATAGAGAATGAACCCAAGCCCTTGGATGGGACTTGAACCTGCAGTCTTTTAATCCCCTCCAAGGCTATGAGCTGAGCCACGGTAATGTCCTAAAAAACTAAAAGGGAAGATGAAGCCCTTACCACGGAAAATGCAAACTAATAACAAGCATAACCCTGTAATATGGTATCACTCTGAAGTCCAAGAGTGATACCAAAGCTATGATGAACACCTCAAATTCAGGCGCTTCAGGGGGTAGCCGAGTTAGTCTGTTACAGAAAAAAACAAAAAATGGTCTGGTAGCACTTTATAGACTAACGAAACATGTAGATGGTCTCATGAGCTTTTGAGGGCACAGGAGTGGGCTGTGCCCATGAAAGCTCATGATATCATCTACATGTTTCGTTAGTCTATAAAGTGCTACCAGACCATTTTTTGTTTTTTTCTGTAACAGACTAACTCGGCTACCCCCTGAAGCGCCTGAATTTGAGGTGTTCATCATAGCTTTGGTATCACTCTTGGTCCTCTGCTGACTTCAGGTTATAAAGTACTATTTGTGTTAGAACAGGCAATTAACATTGCTGAATTCCTTTTTGGCTATTATATTCTCTTTAAAACAAGAGAGTCAGACAACGTGAAGAATTTCATCTAATTTCATTTGTTCTTGTTGGTCTGTGTTGTATCATGCCAACATAAGACACAACACTAGGATTTACAGTTTCCATAACACACAAAGTGCTTTGTAAGAGAGACATCAAAGTAGCAAACAATAAATGTATATCAATGAGTACTGTCCCAATATAGCATTTAGGCACCTCTTTCATAATAGAAGCCTATTAACAGACACTCTTCAATAACACTGAAAGTAGCCCCATTATCAGACTGTTTTAGTTATCCAGAGATTCACTGTATTGCCTCTCCCAGGGACAGGACTCTTATCTGTTCCCAGAAAGTGTCTCATTCATCTATCCTGCTCCTAGTAGGAGTTTCCTAATAAGTGATTTTTTTTTCAACTGCTCTTGCATTTAATTCTCAGAACAATAGCTGGATTCTGACAATAATTGAGAGAAAGCGCATAAGTAGGTGCCCCAGTTTGCTGTTCACCTTCAGTGGATCTAATTTGTTCACATTTTTTGCAAATGAAGTTGGCTGTTTCGAGAGTCAGTGCCATGGGGCAACAACGTGCTTGTTTCTTTTAGCCTTTGTTTACTAGGGTGACTCATATTTCCCAAAGGGAAAATGGGACGCTGTGCAGGACTCCCCCAAGCCTGCTCCTGAGCACAGGACTGACCCACATCCCCTCCCATGCACAGGGCTGGCCTGAGCCACTTGCTCCACCTTCTCCCCCTAGCATTTCTATATGTCCCACTGAGGGGCACATCCCACTTTTTTGACATAGCTGGACAACTGAGACAAATTTCCAGGTTTGCCTCTACCCCTCCCCCATCAAAAACATTAGGATATCTAGAACACGGTTTTAAAAAGTAACTATCCCAGCCAAAATGGGACATATGGTCATGCTAGATCAGTGAGTGGCAACCAAAGCTAGGGAGTGGGCTGCATGAATGGCCCCCCTTCATCTCAGTGGGCTGTAAGATTGTCCTTACTAAGACAGTCTCCTGGGATAAGGTAATTTTGCTAACTGTACTTGCATTCGTAGAACTTGCACGGTGTGCCTATTGAATTGTAGCAGCAATTTGGATGCAACAGGGAGAATGCACAGCTTTTGCCAAAGTTGTGTTCAGTCAGCATGTGCCCCTGCTTGAAGTGTGTGTCACTTTTGGTAATACTGGTAGGAAAAAAATACGGATAGGATGAACCAGCAGAATCTGGTAAACAAAATGTCTCATGGGCCACACACAGAAACCCCAGTGGGCCTCAAGTTGCCTATCAGTGTGTTAGATACTTCAGAGGCATAAGAGGTTGAGGAATTATCCTAGAATAAATACAAAGCAATATCCTTTTAAAACACAACTCCAACGGTAAAGAATCTGCATTCAGAAAATGACATTAGTGAACCCAGGCCCAGCAATTTCTTTTGCTAAATAAAATTCCTTTTGCTGTTCCTTTAAAACTAATCATAATTATAGATAATATTAAGTCTATTGTCTTTTATTAACATAACTTTTTTAGATCCATGACTCCAGCCCAAGCAGACCTCGAATTTCTTGAGAATGCAAAAAAGCTATCTATGTATGGAGTTGACCTTCACCAAGCCAAGGTAGGAGATTTTGTTGTTTTTTGGAGTAGATTTGGGCCATCGGTTCCTTATTTCAAGAGCCTTTATCAAAGACGTAGGTAGGCAGCCAGCCAGTTACTCTTGAAGAGATGCAAGCATAAAATATCTTATGTTGTGAGCACTGGTGTAAGTTTTTATATAAAAATGAAGTTACACGTAGAGTGATCTTCATCAATGAAGACAAAGCCTCACTCTGAAGAACTTAAATTGTTTGATCCTGAAAGGTAATCCACTCTCAGAATTTTGTTAGAATTCATTCTGTATTTAAAAGATTAGTCTCAACACTTTGTGCAGATGGATTTGGAGAATTGATAATTAGAAGGGAGGAGCTTTTAAGCAGAGTTCGAGTATGCTGTTCAAGCATGTGGGACAAATGAATTCAGTAACTATTTAGGAAAAGACAAAAGGAATGTATAGAGAAAATATTGGGTGATCATTTTCTGGACTGTGTAACTCCAATGCTGCAGTATATTGTATTATGTATTAACTTTCTTAGGACTTGGAGGGAGTTGACATCACTCTGGGAGTTTGTTCCAGTGGCCTACTCATCTATAAAGATAAACTGAGAATCAACCGCTTCCCTTGGCCCAAAGTGCTGAAGATTTCTTACAAAAGGAGCAGCTTCTTCATTAAGATCCGGCCCGGGGAGGTACATTACTGGTTTATCTTCTGGTTTTTGTGCTGTATTATGACATAACATGTTCTTCTTGTCTTAAGTCTTCATAAAGGACAGAAAGTGCAGAGGAGATTTAAAGTTGTTTTCATAATTACTGTAATACAGTTGGTTTTTAATTTTAAATGATCCCTTATTTCCTGTTGTCTTTGGCTTTGTAGTAGATTCAATTTATAATATAAAACTGAAATGTATAAAATTTCATTTGAATTATAAATTGCATTTAGTTAGCTCCACCTACTTGTAGAGTATGGTATTCTGTAATCGAACATATTATCACTTGAACAAGACAAGCACATAACAGATCTTTGTTGTAGAAATACAAATATAATAAAAATCCTCCAATATTCCACCATAATCAAAATGAAGCAAAACACTTGATCTTTTTGCTAATACTTGGAAACATAACTTTAATGAGCTGAGTAAAAGATTCTGTTGTGGAAAGCAAGTAGCTGTTCATTTCAAAGACCTTAGATGACCATTCATAATTGAGAATACTGTACTTTTATTAATTCTCAAAATATGTAGCAACGTTATGTTTGTGGGTCAGGATCATGCTGTTTTGACTTGCACATAGATCTTCTCATGTGGCTAGGGGAATGCAGTGGCCTTTGATGGATTATTTTATCCCCCACTTTGCTGGGTCCATGATGAAATGAAGAAGACAACGAGTAGGGAAGCCATAGGAGACCTATTGTCCCCTCTTATTTCCTCCATGGGAAATTCCCCTACAAGTATAATCTAGTCACAGGTCAAGTGTCTGTTTCTGGGTGAAAATCCCTTTTAAAGGGTTGCTCCAGACAAGGCCCATCTAGAAGGTCCTATATATAATATTATAATACATCTACAAAGTTTGTGGACCAAAACTTCACTTCCTTCTTTGGTGGGGCAAACCCCTCATCTCCCTCGTGGGAGAATACTGTAGATGTTTTGTGAGGGAAATTTTGAAGTTGCCTGTCTAGTTTTTTACCTATGTATCTTCCATGTAGGAGGTGATCTTTTCCATATGTCACCTGTAGCTATATTAAAACAGTGTGCATTGCAATTTTCTATAGCAGGAACAATATGAAAGTACCATTGGATTCAAATTACCTAGTTATCGGGCAGCTAAGAAACTGTGGAAAGTCTGTGTTGAACATCACACTTTTTTCAGGTATGCCTTCCTTGCTTAAAATTGTATTTTAAAAAAAATCCTGTTTATTAAATATAGTGGGTTTAAAAAGGTGATACTAATTTTAAGTCTCGGTTTTTGTAATTCCTTTGCTGATAAATTATCTGACTTCCTTCACAGTGATTTAAGATAATAAGACTTGTAAAGAAGTAAAAAGCTTATGCGGAATTTTATTTTAGGATTTTTAAAATAAATCAAGTTAGCAAATGAATGTTTAAGCAAATGAGAACATAACACAGGAAATCCATCAAAATATAGAGGTCTGAAATAGGGCACTGAAAGCATAACATTTGTATCTAAACGCCATAGGAAAATGAGACTAAAGAACAATACTTTATTCGGATATTTGTTGTTTTATGAGGTATCTCTGTCAGATATTGTTTTATCTTTACCCCAACTGATTTCTTTTTAATAAGAAATGACTGAATAAAATAGAGTCTGAAGTTAAGGGAATCTGTGACAGATTCATGAGAGCTGGGGATGTTGAGGTTTGTAGAAAGATGCTGATTGCTGAGCTGTCATGCATCTTGTTGATACCCACTTTCCAGTGTTGTTGTATTGGAAAGCGCCTTTCAGCTATGGAAGTTTGAGATGGAGATACTAATATGAGAATAGGCAAGACAAAAATTCTTGATAATGGGGCCTTTTTGGAAATGAGTAAAACTTGTGCTAAAGAAGTAACATGAGATGCTTTGTTCTGAGAAATGGTTGCTGAATATTTAAATAAATAAATACTCTCAGGGCCATTCCTTACCTACCAAAAGCTTTTTCTTACAGAAAAATCTAAATGTTACATTTTTGGTTAATATAGAAACCTTGCAAGCTTAAAAAAAGTATACAAGAGAGAGAGCAGTTCCAGATAATTTTGAATGATTACTGGTACGTTATATTAAATGTGCCCCTAGAAACGGATGTTGCTGTCACCATCCATGGGAACTGGCAAAATCAGGAAGTGAAAATGAATTAAGAAAAAGTAAATGATGAATTGTAGTTACCTTCTAGACTGAAGATGATTATGCTGGAACAGTCTTAAGTAACATGATAATGCTATTAGTGCGTGCTATTATGTTTAAGAGATCATTTCAAAAAATATATTCAGTGTTTTTCCCTTTACTTCCATTTCTTTCATTCCTTCCTTTATAGTATGAGTGAATAGAGGGTGAATAAAGAAAAGTTATTCATTAGTTCCCATAATATAAGGACTAGACGACACCAAATGAAATTAATGGGTAGCAGGTTTAAAACTAATAAACGAAAGTTCTTCTTCACACAGCGTATAGTCAATCTGTGGAACTCCTTGCCAGAGGAGGCTGTGAAGGCTAGAACTATAACAGAGTTTAAAGAGAAGCTAGATAAATTCATGGAGGTTAGGTCCATAAAAGGCTATTAGCCAGGGGGTAGGAGTGGTGTCCCTGGCCTCTGTTTGTCAGAGGCTGGAGACGGATGGCATGAGACAAATCGCTTGATCACTGTCTTCGGTCCACCCCCTCCGGGGCACCTGGTGCTAGCCACTGTTTGCAGACAGGCTACTGGGCTAGATGAACCTTTGGTCTGACCCAGTATGTCCATTCTTATGTTCAGGGCTCGACAAATAATACAATCTACTCGACCATGGTGAGTAGATTGTAACCCAGAAGAGCCGGGTTTGGGTGATCTGCGCATGCGCAGATCGCCGGACAGCGCAGCTGATGAGCAGGGATCCCTGCGGTTCGGCAAGCCCTGCTTATATTCTTATGAGTGATTTTGATATATAAAACTGAAGAGCATTTTGACCTTTCAGGTTAACTTCCACTGAAACACTTCCCAAGAGCAGATTCCTGGCACTGGGCTCTAAATTCCGTTACAGTGGAAGGACTCAGGCCCAGACAAGACAAGCTAGTGCCTTAATTGACAGACCTGCTCCACAGTTTGAGCGAACAGCAAGTAAACGGGCATCTAGAAGCCTTGATGGAGGTGAGTGGAGTTTCATCAGTTTATTATAAGGTTTCTGTATTATAATGGCCAATCCTGTATTTTTCTATTGAAAATCATCCTGTAGGTTTAGGCTTTGTAACTTATTAATAATTATAATAATAAAAAATGTAGTGTAGCTGAAGAAGGCTGAGCTAGAGAACCTGAAACTGAGACAGTGCCTTGAATGTATTTCTTAGACATTTGGTTGTTGTAAGGAAGTGCATTTTGTTAATTATAGTTTAATTAAAAATAGTTCTGATTCAAAATATATGAACAAAAAAAATTGTGGAAGAGAAACAAATTGGTTTTGTTATGAAGCTTATAAATGGCAATGAGGTAACACTTCATAGCACTATCAAATAAGATAAGCAAAAAAGAATATTGTGAGTTTTAAAAGTGTGCTGAAGACTGGACCTTATTTCTAACACTTGCCTTCAAATCTTTTTCATCTGAATACAAATTATTATGTGCTGACGTAGCACGCATTCGCTCCAAGACTGTGTGTTAGTTTTGAAAGTAGTGTTTGAGAAAATGGCATTAAACATGGCAGTAAAATGTCTGTACCTGCTTGCTTATCCTGTTACCACCCAAAGCTAAAAGGAAAAATTGTACATTTTAATTTTGATGTTGTTTTCGAAAACTACTAAAACAGATCTAACTTTGGGCCCCCCTCCCATACTACATTTGGGATCCAAGTGATGGCATTTGTTTTATGCTACTAGTTTATAAACCTCATCAGTAGTAGTGGTGAGAGAGTTCATTTCAACCTCTATGGGCAAGTACCATAGGAAAAGGAAAAGTTCTACTTTTACTAATCTTGTGTTTTAATACCAGACCTTGGAAAATAAAAACAGCAAATAATGCTTCTGTCTGAATTGAAGTCTGCAGCCTTTTCTATATGCTACACGGGTAGCTTGTTAACATATGCACAATTTCTTCAGCTAAACATACGTCTCAAGTTGAGGTCAGACCCATAGTGGAGGAGAAGCAGGATGATGTGGTGATGGTTGAGATTCCAGAATCAAAACCTGTGGAACAGTTCCGAGAGAAGCCAGGTATAGCTGTGGTGGCCATAATTCTCTGCAGTGCTTTTTCTATCCTTTCCTTTTTTATGCTTGTTCTTGAGCACTCCGAAATGTTTCACAAATTTTGGCATTTTTTGGAAAATATGTCTTTAAGGTCAGGCGGTCGACAGGCTGGGATGGATTTACATCCTAAATTGTGTAGAGTTGTTGGAATAGAATTGCCTGATTACGCTTTTCAGAAATGTATGCTGTGTAGTTGTATCTCGTCAGTCCCAGGTGATTAGAAAGACCAGGTGAGTGAGGGTAATATTCCTTTTTTATTGGACCAACTTCTGTTCGTGAGAGACGAGCTTTTGAGCCACACTGAGCTTTTCTTTAGCTCTGGGAAAAGTACTCTGAGTCTCACAGCTAAATGCAAGGTGGAGCAGATTACTTTGAATGGTCCCTTGGAAAACAGAGTGGCCCATTAACATCCCTGCAGTGATAAGACAAAATGAGATTAGTGGGTTACAAACTGCTGTATCAAGCCATAAAACAGACTTTTAGACAGAAACTCTGCTCAGGTGGAGAGATGTTTAAGATATAGCTACATTACAAATAAGACTTTATTTCTATTTGTGTACTTTATAAATACAAGGTTAGAAAATGTGGCCTTGATTATGTAATCTTCAAACATCTGCTTTAAAACTTTTGGCTTTCATCTTTGAGGTTGCTTGCATTTTTTAAAGTCTTGCTAAATATGTTTATATGTTTTGCCACTCACAACATCTTTTGCAGAACCTAGATTTTTTTTGGGGGGGGGGTGCATAATTATTTCCAGTCAGAATCTTCCATATCTGTGTTTGAGTACAGTCCCATCCTACTACCCCACCACACCTCAGAAACCCTGTTTTGTATCCATAATTTTTCTGTCCATAAAGATCTAGACAGGCCTGTCAGTACCTTTTCTAGAGGTGGAGGCCAGTCACTCACATCTTTTTCCACACCAAACCGACATCTGCCTACACAAGTGTTGCCAGCTCCTGATGACTTGAGAAGTGAGAGATTAATACTGTAAATCAACCCAGGCTCCCACAAGGCACGGCAAAGGACTACTAACTAAGACACCAGAACAGAATTCTAATTGTTCTCTAGATCTGTGAACTTGGGGAGCAGCAGGGTCTCAAGTCCACCTGGCCCTGGCTCAGCAGTGCTTTAACTCAACCTTTTTTATACCCATGAATCTGGATCATTACTGTGTAATGGTCTTCTTGAGCTCCTATTGTCTTCTCTTTCTCATAGCATCACCTTCATCTCATCAGACTGCCCTAATATGAGCAGCAATTTCTGATGCAGTAATATTGCAAAGTGGGCATCAACAGGATGCTTAAGAGCATAGCAGTCGGCTTCTTCCTAGAAACGTCAGCAACATTCCTTTTCAATAGAAGCTCCTTCACACCTTTGCTTTTCCTCCTCAATTCTTTATAATACCATATGTTGATAAAACTAATGTGATTATGATAACTTTGATAGGCAATTGCAATGCAGAATTATACCAAAGATCAAACTCCTAGAGTGGCTTAAAACAAGCTATTGTAGTGTGTTGGCTGTTTTTTCAAATGTAGATGTATGCTGTCCTTAAGAGGTGAGTTCTCGTTCACCTTAACCTCACCAATTAGTGACTGTTGCTTCCCTGCAGTCTTCTTTTTGGTATATTAATGCGTTCATAACTTCTTCTAGCCAAACACACTTTTGAAAATATTGAGATGAAATCAATAGCAGAAGAAGAGGAAGAAGAGAAAATGGAGGTGTTTAAGGTTACTGTTCCAGAATCAAAATTAATGGAACCATTCCAAAAGCAGCCAGGTACAGCTGTGATAGCTTCTTATGTCGGTCCTGCTAACATCACCTCCCACAATACTTACACCTGCTTTTACACATCTTATTTATAATATTCAAGCAGTGTTATGGATTGCCAGTGTTAAAAGTTCTGAAATTCTATAAAATATGGCTAGGATTTTTGCTGTGGAACTAACTCATTAAAACCAGAGGAAACGTGGCAAATACCTTGAATCAGAATGCTGTAACAGCATATGAATCAGACCACTTCAGCAGGGTGGTGAGACATATACAAATATTTTTACAGTAGTGATTCAGCAGTTGCATAGATACAGACACTTGTCAGAGAACAGATGACAATCTCCAAAGGCAAGAAAACTTAAAAAACAATGAATGGTCCTGCAGCATCTTAGGGTATGTCTATACAGCAAAGTTATTTCGAAATAACAACTGTTATTTCGAAATAACTTTATTAGCGTCTACACAGCCAAACCACTATTTTGAAATTAGTTCGAAATAGTGGCGCGCTTATTTCGAATTTGGTAAGCCTCATTCCATGAGGAATAACACCAAATTCAAAATAGCTATTTCAAAATAGGTGCTGTGTAGACACTTATTTTGAAATAGGGGGCCTCCAGCCTTCCCAGGGTGCCCTGGTGGCCACTCCAGCCTCAATCAAGGACACTCCTCTCCCTCTCCCCTCCTCGGAGCCCTTAAACGGGTTGAATCTGGCTATAGTGCCTGTGCCAGCTCCAAGTCTGCCAGCCCAGAGCCAGCAGTCACTGCCCCTGACCCAGTGGCCCCGAAACATGAGCCAGCAAGCCACTGGCAGCCAGCCCTCCACCGCTCCCCAGGAGCAGTCTGCCAGCACCCAGGAGCCTGCCAGGGCCTGGAGAAGGCGGGTGCCTTCCTGGTCCAGGGTGGAGATCATGGACCTTATTCAGGTTTGGGGGGAATGCCCCCAACATTCTCCGCCCTAGGTGGAGGAATGCAGCTGTCTGTGGCAGGACAGCTGCCAGCCTGGCCACCAAAGGCCACATGCGAACCCAGGAGCAGCTTTGCATGAAAATCAAGTTGGTCTGGCGAGATCTCCAACCCTGAGCTTCCCCTCCCTTTCTTCCCCTTGCTTCCCCCTTCCAGCTCCCTCCTCCCAGGTTTCCCCCTCCCCTCTCCCACCCTCTCTTCTCCCCTCTTCCGCCTCCTTTCCCCAGTCTCACCAGAGTTTCATTCCCCTCCACCTCGTGCCAGTTTTGTTAAATAAAGAGAGTTTGTGTTCGTGAAAATACATGTATTTTATTTGACATCAGGAAGGGGGGTTGGGGAGGGGTAAGTGGAAGGACGTGAGGGAGGAATGAGGCACAAGCCCCCAGTGGGGCAGACCAGGGAGGCTCTTAATGCTCCTTAGGGTGGAAGCTTACCCACAGAGCCTCCTGGATAGTGACAGCCCCCCGATGGACCTCCCGGATGGCAGCCTGCAGAAAGTGCAGCCAGACTTGCAGCAATGCGTCCACAAGCAGCACCAAAGTGCCCAGGGCAGCTCTGGCTCCATGTTGCAGAGTGCTGTGGTGTCTCTAGTGAGGATAACCAGAGCATGCAGAGACAAAATGCTTTGCTGTCCCTCATCGAGGTAGGCAAGCAAGCAGGAAAAGCTGAGAACCGGTTGTCCAGGGTAGGTCCCTTTAAGCACTGGCCTCAGATAGCCTCAGGCAGCAGCCACGCAAAGTAACTCCTGACCTGCTGCCCTGCCGGACATGGTTCCGGACAGCCTTACATGTGATTCAGTGTACACTCAGTGTGGACGTGCTATTTCGAAATAGCAAAAGGCTATTTTGAATTGCATTTTGTATGTAGACGCGTTATTTTGAAATAACTTATTTCGAAATAAGATATTTCGAAATAATGCTATAGTATAGACATACCCTTAGAGACTAACAAAAAATGTAGCTAGTGTCATAAGCTTTCGTGGGCACAACCTAGCATTCATCTGAAGAAGTGGGCTGTGCCCATGAAAGCTCATGATACCATCTACATTTTTTGTTAGTCTCTAAGGTGCTGTAGGACCATTTGTTGTTCTTTAAGTTTTTTCAGTTACATACTAACACGGCTACTCCTGTGAGATTTTAAACCTCCAAAGGTGGTGTATCTTGCTGGAAGTGTTGCAGTCTCATCGTAAGTGTCATGAATCCTACTAGGAATATACAAAGCCTAGACTTTTTCAAGTTGTGCTCAGTGTGACCTGTGGCGGCTGTTGTGCAGCACAGTGTGAGGAGTTAGATTGCAACTTCCCTTTTTCATCACACTGCGATTCAGCCTCCACTAGAGGCAGTTGCTCTTTCCAAGCCAAGGCATTGTTTCACATAAACATCCAAATCTCTGCTTGCCTTAAATAAAGGCAGGTTCTTCTTTGAGAGACGTCCCTGTGGATGCTCCAGAGCAGGTGTCGGTCCTTCCTAGTATTGTTAAGTGGAGTCTTTACAGCAGTGGCGGGGTGTGTGTGTGCATGCGCGGCATCCGTGGTGCATGGGTCCCGCATGTTGTGACTGCTCATGTGTAGCCCTCTCCCTTCAGTTCCCTAGCTTGAGATGGAGCTCAGCAGTGTTCTTCACCGTTGTTAAATCCTGTAGATAGCTAGTTCTAGTTTTTTCTTACTTCGTTGACTCCCTGTTCAATCCGAGTTCTCGCTCCTTAAAATAAATTTTTTTAAAAACTCTCCCCCTCCCCCCAAAGTTTTTTTTTCCCATTTGTTGTTGGACTTATCTAAGTTTCAGTTAACTATTCTGGTTCACTGGGTTTTAAACATTGCTCTTGCTGCAGCAATGCTATGCTTGTATCTGATGGACACTCTAAATGTGTTAGACACTTGAGGGAATCTCATGTCCAGCAGAACTGCCACCATTATGCCAAACTGAAAACACAAACCCACAGAGATAGAGCTCTCCGCCTCCAAATGATCATGCTGGAGAAATCACCCAGCCTCTGACCCAGGTACTGAGCTGGCTGAACCCCCCCTCCCCCCGAAATGATAAAGGGAAGAAGTCTCCCAGGAAACGCACTTCAGCTGTACTTCATAAGGCTCAGTCACCCAGACAGCACACAAGTATGACATCAACATTGAGGGCCAGAACGCCATTCTGTCTGAGTACACATGCATAGGGTGTCTCCGATACTGATCACAATACTAGCAAGCACGGTGAACACAGAACCTGTGTCAAGGCAATAGGCTTGTGTATGCCTGCCTCACATAGCTCAGGAACCAACGTGGTACCATACACTCACGATGCCACCATGTAGGTGCAGAGAACTATTGGCAAGGCAATGCAACAACCATCCGTACCGGGTGCTGGCACTGTGGTAACATCTGTTGGCACTGTACCCATTGCAGCACCACCACCACCAACAGGGTTGGTACCAGCTATGTTGCAGACAGCAATGGCACTGTCTACCCCGGCACTGAGACATCTGCAGCAGAGGGACTTACTTGTCTCCTCCACGTTCAATTCTCCTTTCCTCAGTACCAATATTTCACCCAGATCAGTGATACCCAACTATCTAGCGACAATGACATTGATGGGGGCATAACTTTCTCACCCCAATTGTCACCTGGCACTGAGGTCTCTGTACCATCTGCTCATGCCAGTTTGAGACCCCCACCAGGCAGGAATATCTCACCATTGGGACCATACCCATGCCCCTAGCACTAGCAATACTGGAGCCTATGGGCTTAAACTATAGGAAGAAACATACGTCCCATTATTAAGGACCCAAAAGCAAACTATTCCACTGCAAGAGACCGCTTTGGCTTAACCAGGAGATCTTACGTGATCTAAAATTAAAAAATAAGTCTTCTAAAAAGTGGAAACTAGGCCAAATTACAAAGGGTGAATATAGGCAAATAACGCAAGTATGCAGAGGCAAGATTAGAAAGGCACAAAAGGAGCTCAGTCTAGCTAGAGACATTAAGGGTAACAAGAAGACATTCTACGCATATATTAGAAGCAAGAGGAAGACCAAAGACAGGGTATGCCCATTGCTCAGTGAAGAGGGAGAAATAATAACAGGAAACCTGGAAATGACAGAGGTGCTTAATGACTTTTTTGTTTCGGTTTTTGTCAGAAGATTGATGGTGAAAGGATGCCTAACATAGTGAGTGGTATTGGAAATGGGGTAGGTTTAGAAGTTACAATTAAAAAAAAAAAACAAGTACAAAATTACTTAGAAAAATTAGATGACTGCAAGTCACCAGAGCCTGAGGAAATGCATCCTAGAATACTCAAGAAGCTAATAGAGGAGGTATCTGAGCCTTTAGCTATCAACTTTGAAAAATCATAGAAGTCTGAAGAGATTCCAGAAGACTGGAAAAGGGCAAATATAGTGCCTATCTATAAAAAGGGAAATAAGAAAAACCCAGAAAACTACAGACCAATCAGTTTAACTTCTGTGCCAGGAAAGATAATGGAACAAGTAATTAAGGAATTCATCTGCAAACATCTGGAAGATAATAATGTGATAGGTAACAGCCAGCATGGGTTTGTAATGAACAAATCACGTCAAACCAATCTAATAGCTTTTTTTGATAAGATAAGTCTTGTGGATAAAGAAAGAAGTGGTATATCTAGACTTAAAACGTTTTATAGGGTCTTGCATGAAATTCTCATCAATTAGGGAAATACAACCTAGATGGGGCTACTGTAAAGTGGGTGCATAACTGTCTGTATAACCATTCTCAGAAAACAGTTATTAATCGTTCACAATCCTGCTGGAAGGTGCATAACAAGCGGGGTTCCGCAGGGGTCTGTTTTGGGACTAGTTCTGTTCAATATCTTCATCAACAATTTAGATACTGGCATAGAGAGGATGCTTATTAAGTTTGCAGATGATTCCAAGCTGGGACGGGTTGCAAGTGCTTTGGAGGATAGGGTGGTTAAACACTGGAATAAATTGCCTAGGGAGACTGTGGAATCTCCATCTCTGGAGCAGGTTAGATAGGCGTCTGTCAGGGATAATCTAGAAGGTGCTTGGTCCTGTTG